GTTAAATCATATTGTGGACTGGGCTGGTTTTATTCAACTTTTTTTCTCTCTCTAGAAAATCACGAGGATTTTGCTCTCTTCTATTGGCGGGAAATTCTGGTAAACACGAAGAACACACACTTTCTGTGTGTTCCCCCACAATCTCAATCTTCGGCCGCAGCTGGAGATAGCTAAGAGATGATCCAAGAAGGGGAGATTCCGACGAGAAAGACATACGCGGAAGTCACAGGAGGAAAACGAAATGTAGCAACTGTGAAGGAAAGATCATTTGATGATATAGCAAAATCACTCAAATCGGAAGCGGTGTCGGTCAGGGAAGCATCTATATTCAAGAATGAACCGTTCATTCAAGTCTCCCAGGAAGAGATACAAAAATTATCTCAATGGTTCAAACATGGATTAGTGGGTAAGTTTTCTCACAAAAAACCTGCACTGAATTTGATTACCCAAGCCCTAAATTCGTTTGAAATCGGAGGGGAAGATACTGTTGGGAATCTGGATGGTAAGCATGTTCTTATTAATTTTGAAAGAGAAGAAGATTACTGCAGGTTATTTTCTAAACCGGTATGGTATATTCTGGGTACATCAATGAGAATTTTAAAGTATACTTTTGATTTTGACCCCAAAAAGGAATCGCCTATAGCCCCTATTTGGATTGCATTACCAAATTTGCCTTTGGTTTTCTATGATAAAGCGATATTGTATTCTATAGCTTCCGTTTTGGGAACACCGTTGAAAATTGATGAACAAACTGCCAAGAAAACTAGAACTAATCTGGCTAGGATTTGTGTGGAAATGAATGTTACTGCTCCGAAAGTTGAAAGAATTAGAATTGGGAATGAGACGTTTGCTGTCTGGCAGAAAATAGTCTATGAAGGATTACCCCAATATTGTTCTTTCTGCAAACATGTGGGGCATGATATTGGGAGATGCTATTGGAAGAAAATGACAGGAACCAATGCCACTGTTAATCAACAGGAAGGTGTATACAGAGAGGAACAGAGAAAGGTGAAGGGAAAGGAAGTATGAATTGAAGTAAAAAACGGAAGGAAAGAAATCAAGAATACTGAACTGTTGGAAGGAGAATGCTCCAAACCTAATAACTATGAAGAAGGAGAAATCATTTCTGAGGAACTAGTCACTGAAGAGTATACTAATGAGGAAAAGAAGAATAAAGATGAGATCCAGATTGTCTCGGATCTCAGAATAGATGATAAAAAACTGATTGAGCAAATAGATTCAGGTATGTTTGAATGCCTAAATGTATGTGAAGAGGAGATACAGACGGGAGTAGAGATTATCAGAGAATTCCCTCTGGAGGAGGTAGAAAACCACTGTAAGAAGAGAAATCTTGAGTTCAACTATATGGATCTAGACGAAGAGAATATAAACAAGAATATATATGTTCCCAGCTGTTCTATAATGAGAAAACAGAAATCTCTTGAATCATTACAAAGAGAGGAGGAAGAAGAAGAGGTGGAGGATAACACATTATCAATTGAAGTACATAGTGTTCCAGATAATAAAGAGCTTAAGGGCAATTATAAGAAATCCAAGAGCAATAAAAAGAGAAGGGGGAGACCATCAAAACGATAACCATGCAATACAACGTACTAATTTGGAACTTAAGAGGTATCTCTAACTCACTGAAGAGGCTCAGAAATCTGATTCAAACTAATCATATTACTACCTTGCTTGTCTTAGAACCTTTTGTCGATAAAGG